CAATTATCCTGTTATTTGCAGACAGAATCACAGGACTAATGAGGAGAAAGATTAGATCAAAGTTAGCATTATATGGGAAGCTATTAACAATGGTCTTTTACATTAGAAAGAAATCATTATTGACAGTGGTCCTTGGGGTTTTAATAATCATTTCTTTCCAACCTTCTGATTAGTCACGCCTAACATACACTCACTCAGAATTCAAGAATTCAAGTTTACAAGGAGTGTCATTGAATACTCCTACTTATACTTATAAGACATTTCTTCTGGAATTTACAAGAACTGATTTCTATTCTTCACACATCCCAAATCACTGGTCACCTTGAAAGGAGAGTCATCACACTGTGCCTTTGGAGGGGCATATTTGCCATTAGGACTACTTTCAGAGTATGAGTGGCCCAATTATTCATAGGATAATCATCTGCATTGTTTTTTCTGTTAATTCGGGGAGGGAATAGACTTTTTGCATTAAAAGTTAACTATATAAATATTGATCTCACATGCTCAAAATGTACTATTAAAAAGAGTTTTAGAAAATGGAACAGTAACCTATTATAATATAAATTAATTATAAAGGGAAATTCCTTATCATGTAGTATTATGATCATTAATACATATTATTGAAGAAATTATATCCATTTTAGTGAGAATCTTTGTTGTTGTTTTTTTCTCTATAAATAGCTACTATTGGGGGGTGGTACAGGAAGCCCACAAAAATTTCTTCTATGGAAATAAGTGAATTGCCTTTTCAAAACATGAGAGAATACAGTCCTTGGGTACTTGGGTACTCACCAGATGCAAAAGCAACTGTATTTTGGTAGTAGTAGTGGTAGTAGCATTGCCTGATGTCATTGAACCTCAAATTAATATGAGGAAGATTTAAATCTTCACAAAAAATATCACTTCTGCAGAATCTGTGATATCATAATATGTGGCAGGGTTTCAATCTTCATTCCAGCAGTGCCACCTTTTGAGTAATGGGACTCTTGTTTGGAAGGAAAATGTGTAATAAGAACAAAAACCACTCAAGCTAAAGAGATTATGACCAAGAACATGACAGCATCCTCCTCTTTATTAACTCTTTTCTCCTACAGACAGCCCCAAACATCAACATAAGACCAACCCAGGAATGAAAGGAACCTGAATGCAAATTTTAGTATTGCCATTTACCAGCACTGTGTAAAAACATACCGTGTTATATTATACCATAAGGTGATAAAAATAATATTAATACCAATATCAATAAAACATGTAATAACTTAGACCAAATGAGCACTTACTAAGTATCAGATACTATTTTAAGTGCCTTATTTGCATTATTTTAATCCTTACAATAATATAAAATAGGTACTATTATTACTACTATTTTATCCTTAAGGAAACTGAGGCCCAGAAGAATTAAATAATTTGTTAAAGATCTCACAGTCAGTAACAAGTGGTTGAGCTGGGATGCAAACCCGAACAGTTGAACTCTGTGGACTACATTAAGAACCACCAAAGTTCCTTTTTTTGGCCCAGACGGACCAACCATTTTGAAAATGAGAATAGTATATGAATAACCTTGAGAAAAAAATGTCATCAATAAAGGCATCTAATAATTATAGTTCCTCTCATCAAGAAGAGTATAGATTGCAGGCTCTCCAGACACTAATAACTTCAAAATTTAATTATCTGTCAAATGTCTGTGTGGGCTAATTACAACACAGGATATTGTTCACAGGACCTATCAACTACTGAGTTTTCAAAAATAGTGATTTGATATTCCACAAGAATTATCCAAAGGAAGGCACAAATTGAGAAAAGAACAAAGTTCACTAAACAGCCAAATACAAGATAGATACAGAAACCAATATTGAACTCCTAACCAATGAAAAGGACATCCTATTCACAAAAGTAAATAAAATAAACATGTGACAAATATGTATTAGATAGCTATGTGTGCTACAGACAATCAAAGCACTGGAGAGATAATGGCAGATCCTATGTCCTCATAGAATTTAAATTTGTAAATTTAAATTTTTAAATCTGGTGTAGGAGGCAGACAATAAACAAAGAGACCAACATGAATGTAATAGATAAGGTGATGATAATAATATAAAAACATATAAACAGATTATGAGGTCAGAGAGTGAAGTGGGATGCTGTATTAGTCAGGGAAGACCTTCTCATATGGTGACATTTCAGCAGGAATCTGAGTGGATTTGGAGGACAGCTTTCTAGGAAATAGGACAGCAAGCACCAGGGCCCTGAGGCAGGCAGCGCAGGCGACTAAAATGAGATAAGTCAGGGGGAAGTGGAAGAGATAAAGAGATAAAGACAGCAAAGGCCAAATCACATTATGACCTTGCCGGCCATGGTAAGGATTTTAGATATTATCCTGAGATGGGAGCCAATAAGAGTTTTGGAGAGGGGAGATATGTGATTTAATTTATATTTCAGAAAACTATATATCAATCTTGTAGGCCCTGAGCAAGTCCAGTGGTGAATATGCAAGCCTCATACAATGAAAACCACAAAATGCAGATGGGAGACATAAGGGCTTTAATATATGAGAAGCCTACTGTATCCTAGAGAAGGAAAACTCAACATGATAAAGATTTCCTGTCCTTCATCAGCATATCAAGAGCTAACACTTTATGGTGCTTACTATGTGCCAGGCACTTTTCTAAGCACCTTACATGGGTTAACAAACAACCCCTTAATTCGGGTACTATTATTATTCCCATTTAAATATGAGGAAACTGAGGCACAAACTATTATTATTAGCCAGTCTGAAGGTCTGATCCTCTGGCTCTTATCTCAACACAAGGAAAGGCGCCTCTGGGAGCTTCCAAATCAGACTTTCTAAAAGTGTGGCTAGGATCAGAACCAATACCTGTAGTCTACCCACCAGTATTCTTCCCTACCAATCTGCAAAGAACCAATCTTTAAAGAATGCCTTGGAATATCTTAGATTTTCTCTCTATAAAGCTCTCATGCCTGTTCTAGACAGAAAAGTCCAGGGAGCCCATCCAAATGGAATTCAAGATGGAGGAGCAAGGAAATGGGAGGAGGAGGGAGCACTTTGTTTTGGAAGGTCAGTGGGTTAGGTCTCCCAGGTTCCATACAACCTACACCTAACGCCCCTCCCTCCACAACCTTCCCAGATTTTCAGTTAAAGATCCTGGGCCAAGGTAAGGCCTTTATGATCCAGTTAAAAAATCCTTTCTCAGAGAAATACAGGGGTTTGCCAGAGGCTACCTTACTTTGGGAATGCCTGCATGGATAAATTAGGAGGCAGGAAGAGGCACCAATGCCACAAAAGGCTGCCTTCTTTAGGAAGTGTCTTATTCATTCCTCCACAATTCAATATGGTCAAGATATCAGTTCTTCCCAACATGATCTATAGATTCATTGTGATTCCAATCAAACCTCATCAAGTTATGTTGTGGATATCAACAAATTGATTCTAAAGATTTTATGGAGGGTAAGGAAAAAGACCCAGGCTGGCCAACACAATATCGAAGAAAAACAAAATTGAAGGACTGACATGATCTGATTTTAAGACAAACTATAAACCTATTGTAATCAATACAGTGTGATATTGGCATAAATAAAGACAAATATATCAGTGGAATAGATTATAGAGCTCAGAAATAGTTCCATATAAACACAGTCAGCTGATCTTTGCCAGAGGAACAAAGGCAATACAATGGGAAAAGGACAGTCTTCTCATTCATCCCTCATACCTCCCTCTCCCAGGGGCTCACTCCTCAGCAAGGGGATTAGAAGTTCTGACCACCTCAGCCAGTCTGAAGGTCTGATCCTCTGGCTCTTATCTCAGTGCATGGAAAGGAGCCTCTGGGAGCTTCCATCAGACTTTCTAAAAGTGTGGCTAGGAAATCCACTCTCTTGGTTTCTTCTCAGTAAGTCATCAGATACCCTAACCTAGAACAACACATCCTAATCTATGGAGACTCTGAAAATCAGGACATTAGTCATGGCCTCCTAAGGGCCCATTTGTTCACAGAGAAATTAAGAGCCTGACAGAAGACAGCTAGACCATGTTACAGAGCTACCCAAAATATGATGAAGCTGTGAGACATAGACAACCTCCCTCACTCCAGGCTCCAACATCCAGAGCCCTCTGTGAGTCAGATGTATTTCTGCACTATGTAGAGAGCAAATGCCTAAACAGGGGCAGTGTCAGGTATCCTGAGCAATTCCTGGGGTCAAGCTGCATTCAGCCCCATACCTTCTTTCCTCATTTCCTCCAGCCATAGCTCACACAATGGAGAATTGAGACCCAAAGAAGCATACCCTGTCTGCAAAAAAGACCATTGGACTATATCATGCAAGGTCAGAAAGATGACCCTGAGCCTTTTGGAAAAAATTTGTTATAATCAATATAACTTTCTGGTTGCTCCCTTCAAGGAATTAATCAGTCAGAATGGTCCACTGGCAATATTGTTGAATTACCCACAATTTTGCCAACTCCCTTCTAGAGAAAGTCCCCTACTGGCCAATTAAAACATTAAGACAAAATACTTGAGATGTATAAAAAGCAATATGGCTTCTTATGCAATATAGAATATTATTAGGTGAATCAGTACAAAACTGCCTCCCATCTTCTAAACACATTGGAGAACAGCAGAGAAGTGAATACTGAGTAGGTGGCAAAGTCTGCTCAATTTTGAGTTTCAGCTCAACTCTAATAAGTCATGGTATGCTCTGAAACTTTTAAAATAGAATCAATCTCATTGCACTTAAACGGTCTTGCATTTATAATCCCAACAGTGGTACACTCAGAATGTATCATAGACCCCTATGAGATATGAGAGAGTTCTCCAAGTTTGTATATTAGAAAGAAAAGAGATGGCACATACCTTTAACCTATTTTAAATTAAACCTAACAAAGGGTTTCTCTCTATGCGAAAAAAAGAAAGAAAGAAAACAAATGTAAGAAAACCTTTTCTGAGATGTGAAAAACTAAAGATCCATCATCGGGATCCCAAGTGTACCTGCAATGATCCCATCCATCTGCTCCAAGGCAGCTTCCAGGGCATGACTAGCATCAAATGCCATGACTCTTTTTGCCTGCTTAGTCTCTTCTTCCTGTTACTGAAAATTCAAATACAGAATAAAGAAAAAAGTTACAGAAGTTCCACATTACATACTTAAGACCACAAAATGCTTTAAATTCATTATCACACCATGCATTTACATTAAGAATTCCAGTAGCTGAAGTATAATTTCTGACATCTCTATGGTCTTCCCCTCCTGGCACAAGTGCTTTTTGTCTATGAATCTTTAGCACATGATCCCATTTACTTATTTTTTTTTTAAGAGAGAGCGAGAGAGATAGAAAGACAGAGAGAGAGAGAGAATTTTTTTAATATTTATTTTTTAGTTATTGGCGGACACAACATCTTTGTTTGTATGTGGTGCTGAGGATCAAACCTGGGCCGCATGCATGCCAGGCGAGCGTGCTACCGCTTGAGCCACATCCCCAGTCCCCATTTACTTCTATAATGAAAAGTCACTAGGGCTCTCCAGAATCACCAGAAGCAGCAAGACCCAATTGTTACCTCTCCATACTGATAGCTCCAAGCTCCAGAAGCACTAACCACCACTGGGGAAGGCTCCACTGTCTTACAGCTGCATTTGCCTCACACCTGCAAGGCTTTCCTTGGATGGGTATGATTCAGGTAAGAGGCCTCAGCTTCCAGTTTCCCTTCTCCAAATGGGCTAGCATGTCCTGCCTAGGAAGGCCAAAGGTACAATGATATAAAGAGAACACTGTCCAGGAATACTGTGTCTGACCAATCTCAGATGCACCCTATCCGGCACTATTCAAGGTTTAGAATTTCGCCCTATTGGGGATGAGGAACATCTCCGAGGATACATGGAACAGCCACTTTCCTGAGGCTGTATTTCCCCTTTAAGAGCTTGATAAGTAATGACAGGGCCATCTCTGGACAACTCTGCTTCTTAGAGTTCAACTGTCTTCTTGCAGCCTCATCTCATTTTTCTTGTTTCCTGAGATCAGGGAAGATCTTATAACAGCATTTGTAATTCTAAGAGACTTAGCTCATGTTTGTCAACTGGAGCAGGAGTCTTTGTTTGCTCATTCAGCAAAATCCATGAGTATGCCTAATGGCATCAGAGCTCAGGAAAACAGAGATGTGGCTCTCACACATGCACAGGCCAGGAAATGGATGGTTCTGAGCATCTCTCCTAGTTTTCCCTGTGAAGTTGGACCTTTGGAGTGAAGAGAAGAAAGGGGGCTCTACATGGAAGTAGCTCTGGAGATGGTATAAATAAGCATTTCAGAACCACATGGAACCATGCTGGACTGTACCAGACAGTAGCAGTTGAGTTCATAGGCACTAGAGTTATGGCCAGAGCCCATACCTTGCTCTACCATTTACTGTGTAATCTCTGAGCCTAAATTTCCTTATCTGTAAAAGGGGATAACAAAACCTAATTCACAGGATTGAGTCATGATTAATTAATCATTAAGGCTTCATAGTGAGCACTAAGCACATTCCTTTGCACAAAATAAGTGCTCAATATTAGTTAGCTATTGTTATTCTTTGTTTTTCAAGTGACGAGATAACCTCAGGACATATTTTTGTCAAAACAGCTCACAAAGTTAGACTTTAACTAAAAGGATGTGGCCCAGGGAGAGAGAACCCTTTGGAAACTGTGGAGCTCATATATGTGTCATCTTGAACCCTGATAAGCTCAAGCCTCTGATTTGCTTGAGCCTGGCAAAGGAGGACAGCCATTCTGCACATGGAGGGGCAGGGCATTGATTCACAGGGACAAAGGCCAAGGAAGGCTCAAAAGCAATACGCATTAGGCCTCAGGACAGAACTAGTGCACAGTTAGCTTAAGAGAATGACAATGGGAGTTCCCACAGGGGGTGGGGAGTCCTACTGGCACCTCAGGTTCCTGGAAGGAGCCAGACAAGACTGAAACAAAGACCAGAAGTATTGTGAAGTGAGAAGAGCAGCTCCAGCTGCTCCAGAGTAACACAGTATGTAAATCTGGGATGGGAAGGGAAGCAAGCTTGAGTTGGGATGTTAGAAGAGGCTGCAGGAAAAGGAGGGGTAGCAGAAATGGCATCAGCAGATTCCCTCTTGTTCAGCCATAACATTAAAAGTTTGAAATACTTCCCTCCAAAAACGTCCCACTGCTCTTCTGAAAAAAATCCAAAATCCTTACTGTGATCTACCAAAAAGTCACTACAGAGTCTGGCCGGCCCAGCCTCACATCTTCTCCTCAGGCTTCTCAGGCTTCAGCAGCATTTTCTCCCGAGGGCTCACAATCACACCAAGAAAATGTCCTTTCTGTAAGTGGACACCTGCCATCCTCTCTGCCATGAACTCACTCCCCAGCTCTCCGCAGGGTTAGGGCTGACTATTCTTATCCTTCAGGTCTCAACTCCAAAGTATCTTCTGAGAGAGGCCTCCCCAGATACCCCTAATCTAAAGCAGCCCTGTGAAGCACAGTAATTCCAAATTATTTTTTCTTGCTTCCACCTGAAGGCAGGGGGACCCTGTCTGCCTTATTTTCCCCTATTCTCAGTATCTAGCATGATGCCTGGCACAAGGAAGTTTATGAATAAATACTTGTGAATAAATGGATGAATCCATGCAACCAACATCTCCTAAAGTGTCCTGGGCACTGGGGGAATACTGATAAATCAGATCTTGTACCTGCTCCCGTGGACCACAGAGTCAAGCAGAGAAGACAGAAATTGAACAAATAATTATGGTACACTTTTAGGTGTGCTTTTAAATGTAGGTATGCAGTTTCCCTGAATCTTGAAGGATGAGTAGGTGTTTTCTCAGAAGATAAGGAGAATGGCATTCCAGACAGGGCAGTACATGAAAGACAGGGAAGCATGCAAGGGCAGGATGGAGCTGGCTACGGTCAAAACAGTTGACGTTAAAAAGGACCATCCAGCCACTCAAGATGAGTCAAAACCTTCCACAGAATTCACATAAGCAGGACAAGGGCAATAAAAGAGGAGCTTGGGAACCACAACCGCTCCTTTCAGGGATCTGGATACCAGTGCATAACAAATCAAGTGATCTCAGATGGAAGTACTACAAAGATTTTTAAAGAAAGATCTCATATTTCAAGAGACTGGGCCCATGGATGAGCTGTGGCTGGCCCATTTGGGGCCTCAGTATCAGGGTGAAAGTTGGGAGGGCAGTTAGGAGGTACTGCCCAAGGGCCCAAAATATGACCCCCTGCAACAGAGGAGCCTCAAAAGAACATGGGCCCTCTGCCCAGTGATGAGTTTATACTTGGCAAACAAAACTGGGTGGACTCGTAGGAGCTGGCCTGAAGTGGGGCATGAGTCAAAGTTATCCTAGTCACAATTCAGGAGCTGGGACAGTGAGATTGGGGAACCTTCTCGGAGCAGAGCTGATTAGCTCAGCTCTAGACCTGCTGGGTCTGAGGTGACAGCAGAATACCTGGATAAGAAGGAGTCCCTGCCTACCCTGGCACAGTGCTGCTATGAGGTAGGCATCAGATATGGAAGGGCTGAAGGTAGCATAGGTGTAAGGCCTCCTGCCCCCATCTGTGAACACAATCTTACTGGATCAGGGAAGCCGTGATGTCACTAGCCATGCCCATTCTGGCAGCTAATAGTGGTTTTCTTCCCTACTGTCTAGGTTAGAGTTCCCATCAGCAAAGAACACATGATGGGGCAATCCCTTCCCTTAAGAAAGGAGGTTTAAAGAAAAAATTGAAAAACAACAATAGTGTTGTATTCTTACAACACCACTGACACCAAACGTGTTTTTTTTTTCCTACACCAAGCAATTTCTAAATTGTCTGTAGGACTCCAACTGGTGTGTACAATTCAATTCATTTCTTTTTTTTTTTTTTTTGGAACCCAGAGCTTTGTGCATTTGAGGCAAGCACTCTACCAACTGAGGTATATCCCCAGCCCCCTACAATTCAATTCAATTCTGACACTACTTGAAGTTAGCATAAGATCCCACAAGTTGAGGACTCAATCCCACAAGACTATCCCTACTCTAGATGCCAATCAAAACTCCAGGTTTCCCTTTTGACTGACCAGCTATAAATCAGGGATTCCCAAACCCCTTCCTCAGATTGAATAATTTGTTAGAACAGCTCACAGAAGTCAGGGAAACATTTTACTTATGTTTATTATAAAGAATACAACTCAGTGACAGCCAAATGGAAGAGATGTATTTGGCAAGGTGTAGGGGAATGGGGTCAGGTAGGGCTTTGGTGCCTTCTCTAGAGGTGACTCACAGCACCTTTATGGGTTCATCAACCTGAAGGTTCTCCAAACTTAGGATTTCACATGGACATTTCATTATACAGGCGTGATTGATTAAGTCATTATTCATTCAATCATTGGTAATTGAACTCAATTTCCAAACCCTTTCCTCAACCCCAAGATGAAGGGTAAAGGATTAGAGCTGGGGCTGAATTTCTAATCCTCTAATCATGGATGGTTCCTCTGGGAATCAGTACCCGTCCTTTAGGAGTCATCTCATTAGCATAAACTCAGGTATGGTTGAAAGGGGCTTGTATAAATAACAAAAGGTTCTTCTCTCACCCCCATGCAAGGATTTTAGGAGCTCTATGCTAGGAGCCAGGAAAAAGATCAAATATTTTATTTCTTATTATAGCACAATATCACAAGTCTTCGAGGCAAACGTGTCATGTGACAACAAATAGTGTGTTCTGCATCTTCCATGCCTGTTCCTCCCCACAAAGACACATATCTCCTCCAGGAGCTGAGTTCATTGGAAATTGGGGCTTATGTGTGCAAAGTTCCAGAGGCAATATGCCAAGAGGTCTTCTAGATGGAAGTAAGGTTCAGAAGCCAGAGGGAGCATCCAAAAGAGGCACCAATCCAAAGGGGCTAAGAAAGAGAGCCAGAAGCCACGTCAAAATGTAGACACAAGTGAAATCAAGGTGATGTCAAAAGTTAATAGTAGGAACTTAACTCATTTTCCCTACCAATGAAAGGACAGCTGTCACAGCTATCCAAGGCCTGACAAAGAACAGATAACAGAATAATAGAGACTCTAAATAGGGGTACCAATCAGCCCAGGAAG